GGAACTCACCTTTGACTATGAATGAATAGTATCGTTGTTACATCTCACACTTGTCTGAGTGGAGACTGTGCGCTAAACAAATTGCGGTACGATTTTCTTTATGAAAACGTAGTCCGTTCTTGATTTGCTAATTATCGAAACACTGCCATATTGCCCGTGCTAAAGCAGGAGAATTTTATATAGAGGTTAACAGCCTGAGCTTTTGAATTGCCCAAGCCTAACCCGCCAGGCAGTAGGGCGGTGTGAAGAAGCTGCAATCGATTGGGGCCTGGTGATCAGCTCATCGGATCGTACACCATTTGGACATGCTCAGGCGTCCAAGCCTTTTACAGATAAAACCCGGAGAGTGCTTCTTTGATTCGTAAATTTTTTCTTGGTTGTGTTGTAACCAGCGTTTTTATCCAATTCTAGGTCAACTAGCAGTGGTTTACCGACTTGGTTTTATCCCTGGTCGTTGGTTTTTGTTCTCTCATTTTCATGGGAAAGCACCTCCGCCACGGGAAAACAATGATTAGGGCTTCCTCAGAAGAGGCTATTTAATATGCTTGGTCGTACAGGAACATTTTATGAGGTGTAAGGGAAGGTTGATCACTCAATTCAACCCCTTCCCCCCCGCAGCATACTTAGACTTAGTAAATCAAACTCTTCCCAAGTGTAAAATATATATATATATATATATATAAAACAAAATTGATCTGAACTCAGATCATGTGCCAAACATAGCGTGTTATAAGCGTCGTTCTAGAAATTAAATCAATTTGTTATTTTTCCTGGGTGCGATAATCTTTTACTATTCAAGCCGAAGTAGATGACCTAAGGAGATTCCCAGCCGAAGCCTTCGGCTTCCAGCGAAACAGTGGGCCAGTTTGAAAAGCTGCCTTAACTAGAACCCTTGAAACATTCCATTTAGACTTATGTCTTCAATCATCTCCCTGCGTTCTCCTGATCCACCCTTCATGTGTCAAGCGATTTGGCATCCGAAACTCACGGTGTCGCTGGTGTTGGGATTGCACTAGGTTCCAAGGCTGAGCGCTAGCTTCTTGACTGGATTCCAGTCAGTAGCGGATTGTGCGCTGTACGTCCGAACGGCTCAGTACCGGTCAACAGATGCAGAACGAAGCGTCGATGCTTATTCGTCATATCGGCAGCCCTGCTGAGCGCTCGCAGAACCGTCCCTTTCAGTGCCACATATTGCACAGCGCGCAAATCCATAAAACGTCAACTCATCAAGAGTATGAGAAATGACCGTGAGAAGTGATGGGTAGAAAAGTGTAAAGAGATGGAGAAAGCTGCGGCTATTGGTAATNTCTAATTAGGAATACGGGTCCTAGGAAAATAGGCGTAAGTGAGGCAATTAAGGAATCCGATGGCACACTGATTCACGATCTACAACGCCGTTGGGCTGAACATTTCAAGGCTCAGTTCAACTGACCCCCATCGGCACCTTATCTTTCACTCTCCGCCTCGACTGGACAAATACTCCCAGTTGATGCTAGTCCTCCAAATGGAGGTATGTCGGGAAATAAGTTATCTCAAAAGGCATAAGGCCTCTGGCCCAGATGGGC